AGTCTGCTTCTCCCTCTGACCCTCCTCCCTCTCATGCTCTCTGTCTCTCATTCTCTCTGTCTCAAATAAATAAATAAAATCTTAAAAAAAAAAAAAAAAGAGTCTCAAGCAGTAATCCTGGGGAGAGTGCATGGTGATTGGGACCAATGTGGTGACCGCGGAGGAAGTGAGAAGTTTGCCCCTGGATGTTAGAGGCCAGAGAAAGGCCTTAGTACTGGGATGTCTGAGCTGCAAGAGCCCTCGGACCCGCAGTGCTAGAACTGGAAGGGCCCAGGCAGGGGTGTTCGGCCTGCATTTATGTATGATGGAGCTGAGGCTTACTGAGGGCAGTGGCTGTGCCTGCTTCCCCAGGATGGGCTCAGAGGCCGACCGGGCATGGTAGGGGCACTCAGAGCTGTTGGCAGAACTGACGCTGTGGTTCCTTCCCTGCAGTTACTGCTACCAGTGCCAAAGCCAGGTGCCGCCCCGCAGTGGGCATTGCTCCTCCTGCCGCGTCTGCATCCTTCGCCGGGATCACCACTGCCGCCTTCTGGGCCGCTGTGTGGGGTTCCGCAACTACCGGCCCTTCCTGTGCCTGCTGCTTCATGCTGCGGGCGTCCTGCTGCATGTCTCTGTGCTGCTGGGCCCTGCCCTGTCAGCCCTCCTGCGAGCCCACGCGCCCCTCCACACCGCCGCCCTCCTCCTGCTGCCCTGGCTCATGCTGCTCACAGGTGGGGAGCTTGGGAGGCGTCCACAGAGGCAGAGGCCCTTGCAGTGGGCCATTCTGGTGGGGGGTGGGATTTCCCGCTGGTTCTCCTGGTGATGTCCGGGGATCCCAGTTCCAATGTCATTTATGGGGCGTGAGGGCAGCCTGAGATTCAACTGGGTGTGCAGTACAGTAAAATACTGGGCCTTGACCCAGGTACAGAGTTCTGGCTAGGAGAATCAGGCAAGGATTCTAGGTGTTGGCAGAGAAGGAAGGACTGGTGGGAGTTGGGGGGGGTGGTTGGGATGGGGAGGGAGCATTCTAAGTGGGGGTGCATTCTAAGTGAGCGTTGCAGACAGAACAAAGGCATGGAGGCTGGGCAAGGAGTAGGTTCAGACTGGATGGTGGAGACCCTCCCTGAATGCTGGTGTGAGGAGAGAGCCCTGACTTGACTGGACAGTAGGGAGCCAGTGAAAGCTATAGGCAGAGGGAAGTTCCCGTCTTTGGAAGCTGGGAGGGGAAGACATGGATCAGGAGGCTGACCGAGAGGCCATGTTCTGGATGACACATTTATTCCTCTTTCTTCTGACACCCTCCCCTCCCTGAGATAAAAGCCCCACTGTTTTTTATACTCTTTGTTGTCTCCGCCTGAAATGCCTTCTCTCCCCTGACCCCTTCCTCCTGACCCCTCCATGGTCCCTCTGTAACCTTGTCCTGCAGTTACTAAACTCTCTGAGTACTCTGAGTAGTAGCTGTGTCTCGTCCTATCCAAGCCCAGCTCTGTCCCTACAGCCCGGAGGGGTGGGCGGGGGAATGGCCTTGGGAGGCCCAGTGGGCTTGTCACTGTCTCGCTCTGACCACACTGGCTCCCTGAGCAGCCCTCCTCTGCCTCCTTGATGACCCTGTTTCCACTGAGACACAAGCCCTCCAGCCGCACCTCCCTGCACCCCGCCCCTCTGCAGCCATTGTCTTCTCAAGCCCTGGGCCCTGCTGAAATCGTGGGCATCTGGAAGTCCGGGCTAATGGCCCTCTCAGTGCCCAGTTGGTCAGCTTTTGACCTTCTCTCCATTTGACTTCCTTTACTTACTCCCACATCCACCCTACACCTTGTCAGAAGCCAAAGCGTGTCACCTCCCAAATCATGCCATGAGCCATTCACCCCTCTCCGTCTGCTCCCCACCTCCTCTCCTAGCCAGCTCTCACACTTCTACTCCATGAGCTCCTGCCCTCACCTTTCCGTCCACACTTTCCCTCTTCACTGCCCCCACATCCAGCTTAGAATCCTCATTTCCACCATTCTCCTGCCAGCATCTCAACCCTCTTGGCTCTGTCTTCCACGGTGCCTTCCTGTCTTCTCTGAGTCTGCCGCTGGTCGCTGAGAGCTGGTACTTGGTGGCAGTTGGTCCCATGCCACATTCATGGCGCTGCTGACCCCAACAGGCCTTCAGTCATGGGTGGCCATCCTGGTTTCTCATAAGCTTGCTCCCCCCGAATGACTGCAGCTCCAGCCTTCCCACTCTCCTGTTCTCCAAGCTTCCACCTCCCTTGAAATCCATCACAGAAAATGAGATGTCAGTTGGTACATCCAGAATTGTCTCATCCTCAGATCCGGAAGCCAGGCTGACTGCCCCCAGCTTCTCCTGGTGTCTGGCCCTTCCTGCTTGGAAGCCTCACTATGGCCTGCTTCTCCTCCTGCTGACCCAGTCCCCCCTCCACTGGCTTTCTTCGGCTTTTCCCACCTGTACAAACCCTCTCTTCACCCCACATCCTCCTCCTCCCTATCTCTTGCCTCTTGGCTCTTCTCTTAGCAGCCAAGCTTCTTGAAGGACTTACCTGGGCTCATAGGCTGCTTTTCCTCACCTCCCACTCACTCCTGTACCTGCTCCAAACTGGCTTCTGTCCCCCCTCCCCTTCCTGAGAATGCCTCGGTCACCACAAAGCCCAGAGGACCCTTTTGAGTTCTCTTTGCTTCAGGAGACCTTTCTGCCTCATTAATACTGCTGGCCTTCAACCTCCTGGAAAGGCTGTACCCTGGGCGTCTCCAACAACTCTTACTGCAGGGTTTCCTCCTAAATTTTTGGTTTCCCTCTCTTTTCTTGATCGGGTCCCAAAGGACCTGGTTTCCTGATGCTGAGGGCATGGCGCCGCTCCCATCCCACTCTACACTCTGGCGGGTCTTGGAACTGCCAACCACCTGCAGATCTGCGTGTTGGGCCTGGGCTTCTCTCCTGAGCTTCCAGAACCATCCACATACTCGTCTCACAGGCATCTCTCCATCCTGCCTCAGGACCTTCAAACAGAATGTTTTCTCCCCTCTTCACCTACCAAATACCTCCTTCAGATGCCACCCAAGATGTACTTAATTAAAGCAGATGAAATCCACTTCCTCTAGCCTCCTAATAAGTCAGCTTGGCATTTCCCCACATAGCCTCTCTTTTTTAATGAAGTAGAATTCATATAACATGAAATTCATCATTTTAACCACTTCCTAGTATATCATTCAGTGGCATTTAGTACCTTCACAATGTGGTGCAACCATCACCACTATCTAATTCCAGAACATTCTCATCACCCCAAAAAGAAACCCTATTATACCCATTGAGCAGTCACTTCCTACTCCTCCCTGAGGCCCCCAGCTCCTGGTAACCACTCATCTACTGTCTGTATGGATTTGCCTGTTTGGGACATTTCACAGAAATGACATCATCTATGTGCCCTTTGTGTCTGGCTTCTTTGACTGAGCAGAATGTTTCATGACATCCTGTAGTTCATTAGTTCAGCAGATACTTAGTAGCTACTGTGGGCCAGAAGGTGCTGTACTTTCCCATTGTAACACACATCACATCCGTAATTAAGTAACTGAGAAGTCATCTCTTAACTACTTGTCTGTGAGCTCCCTGGGGTCAGAGCTGGTGTCCACTGTTCATCCTGGTGCCTGCCACCGCGTCTGGCACGTGGGAGGTGCTCACAAGTTTGTGATGAATGCAAGTCGGATGTTGGGCAGAGGGCTGCGTCTGCCCAGGTCACCGGCGTGGGCTGGCCCGGGAGTAGCCACTCAGCGTTTACTGAGCAGAGGAAATGAGCCCTGCTTCGTGGTGGAGGGTAGGGAGTGGAAGAAGGGCGGGAGCTGAGCTTTGGGAGGGCTGAGCCCACGGCTGCCCCCTGACCCTCTTGCTTTCTTCTTGCAGGCAGAGTGTCTCTGGCTCAGTTTGCCCTGGCCTTTGTGACCGACACGTGTGTGGCAGGTGCACTGTTGTGCGGGGCCGGGCTGCTCTTCCATGGGATGCTGCTGCTGAGGGGCCAGACCACATGGGAGTGGGCTCGGGGCCAGCACTCTTATGACCTGGGCCCTTGCCACAACTTGCAGGCGGCCCTGGGGCCCCGCTGGGTCCTCGTCTGGCTCTGGCCCTTCCTGGCCTCCCCATTGCCTGGGGATGGGATCACCTTCCAGACCGCAGCTGATGCGGGCCTCGTGGCTTCCTGACTCCAGAAGGAGCCGGAGCTGTTCAGGGAGAGGGTAGCAGGAAAGGGGGCTCCTAACTCCTTTCAGGCCCATCCCCAGCCTCCCATCCCGTCCTTGGCCTTGCCCCTGCCCAGCCTGGACTCCAGTGTCCAGGGCTTGGGTCCTGCAACTCTGCCTCTGTTGGCCCCCCGAGTAGAGTGGACAGTTGGTAAGGGGCTGCTTGGCCAGCCTAGTCACCCCTTTGCTGGGTTAATAAAGCGCCCACTTGGTTCTTGGACTCTCTCCATCTTTCTGGGTTTCTGGTCCCTCGCTGTTGCCCAGGCTGCTGTTTCTGGTTTCCTCTGATTGCCACGCATGGGAACCACAGAATGCCTGAGGGCTTAAGGGACCAGGGCTCTTCCTGTGGCTTTGGTGTGGGGGGCTGGGGCACCAGCAGACCAAGGTGGCGTGTGGTGATCCAGGGAACAAGAATCCAACATTCTTTCCCAGGTTCAGTGCTTTATGGTTAGAAGCCTCTCCATAACACTCACTGTGCCTCCCTCTGGCTACTCTGGTACCAGGGGCAGCAATTATGACGGTTGATGTGAGAAGATCATGGGGCAGTGAATGGAGGAGTCAGGATTTGAACCCAGATCTTTGTGCTTTCTCCTTCACCCTTGCACAGCCAAGGAAAGTGAGTAGCAAAATCGAGGCAGAGAAATCAGGTGGATGTTCAAGCATCAGCTTCTTCAGAAGCTACCTGTTAAACATTTTTATTTAAATATAGTAAATAGACTTCCAGTTAAATGTAGCAGGTTTAAATACATGGGTTTACCTCTGTTTCCTTTTAAAATCTAAAATGATAGTAAAGACATAAAACAGATACAAATTTACAAGGACAAAGAAAATAGAAGGGAGACAGGAATAGATCAAAGAGCCTGATGACATTCTGAAAGATGGGAAGTGGATGGGGGCTCATTTCCTCTCTTAGCAGAGAATTAGAAGTTAATTCCTATAGGGAGGGGCCAAGAGGCAGCCAAACTGCCCCCCCCCCCCCGCCCCCAGGGCCCTGGAGAGGCTCAGGAACTCTCCTGGCACCATGGAAGGCAGGGTTTGGGACTGACAGTAGGGACTGACCCAAAGTCTGTATGAGGAGCAGCTAATTGCCCCTTCCCCCCACCCTGGGGCCCCCTTGCAGCCAAGCAGCTACCCCTCTGAGGTACAGATGGGGGCTACTCGAAGAAGCTTTGGGTCTCAGGGGAGGGTTGGGGTGAGGGGCTGGACCAAAAATGGGGTTAAGTGAAAAAGTCTACAGATGCTGCCTTGGGTGGTGGAGATGTCATCCAAGGACATGGCAGGCTTGTCACCCAGGAACGCTCAGAGAAGCCCATCCTTCTGAGAGGCCCTGCCCATACCCACAAACCTTTGAGCTGCTAGGACTTCTTTGTTTTCCCAAACGGCACGTTCAACTGCTAGTTCTTAATGGTTAGGAAAGTGGTGTGCCTGGCACTTTGTGCTGTATGGAAGCATGGGCCGACTTCTTGTCTCCTCCTCCGCTTTCTGTTGTTTTTATTAAATAGTAAGGAGATGCAAGAAAATATTTAGAAAATAAATTCCCTCCTTCCCCCCATTTAAGAAATGGATACCACTTCCTTTGAAGTCCCCACTGTGCCCCTCCCCGGTGGAGAAAACACTGTACTGTCTGAATCATTCCCTTGCTTTGCCTTGTAATCATATTACCTAGGTTTGTATTGGTTTTGCATGTTTTTGAATTTTATATAAATGGAATCGTACTGTGTTTGTTCTTCTATGACTTGCCTTTTCACTCAATATTGTGTTTCTGAGATTTATCCAGATGAACGTGTAGAGCTGTAGGGCATTCCATTCCTTCTCCTTGCTGTGTAGTGCGCCATTGACTATACCACAACTTATTTTTCCACTGTCGCCCCTATTGGAGGACTCCCTAAGATCTATTCTTGGTCCTTGCTCTTTCATATAAATTTTAGAATCCACTTGTCAAGTTCCACCAGTAAAAAATACCTTTGAGATTGTGAATGAAACCCAACTGAATCTAAAGATCAACATCCATATGAAATTGAAATTGCATTTTTCAGTTCATGAACATGGCGTGTCCATTAAATGTTTTCAATAAAGTTATATACTTTTCTCATAAAGATCATGCCTTTTTTGGTTAGATTTATTATTATTATTATTTAAGGATTTTATTTATTTATTTAATTGACAGAGAGAGAGAGGGAACACAAGCAGGGGAAGTGGGAGAGGGAGAAGCAGGCTTCCTGCTGAGCAGGGAGCCCAATGCGGGGCTTGATCCCAGGGCCCTGGGATCATGACCTGAGCCGAAGGCAGCCGCTTAACCAACTGAGCCACCTAGGCGCCCCTAGATTTATTATTATTATTTATTTTTTTTAGAGAGAGCGTGCATGAGTGGGGGGAGGGGAGGGGCAGAGGGAGAGAGAGAATCCTAAGCAGTCTCCATGCTCAGGATGGAGCCCGATGCAGGACTCAATTTCACGACCCTAAGATCATGACCTGAGCTGAAATTGACATTCGGACGCTTAATGAACTGAGCCACCCAGCATGGGTTTCTTTTTAAATAGATGCCCCTTAAGTTCCCTTCTAGTCCAAATATGTTAATAATTTGTATTCTTTTACTTTCAATTGTTTTCTCTTGAGATCAGCCTATAGATGGATTTTTTTTTTTTTTTAAAGATTTTATTTGAGAGAGAGAGCACGAGTTTGGGGAGGGAGGGGCAGAGGGAGAGGGAGACGCAGACTCCCCGATGAGCAGGGAGCCTGACTTGGGGCTCAATCCCAGGACCCTGGGATCATGACCTGAGCCGAAGGCAAACGCTTAATTGACTGAGCCACCCAGGTGCCCTGTAGATGGAGTTTTAAAAATCTAGACAAGACTGTCTTCCAGTTGAAATATTTGGTCATTTATATTTATTGCAATTAATGTACTTGGGTATATTTCTACCACTTTATTTTGTGCTATTTGTCTCACTTTTTGTAGTTTTTAGTTTTTTACTCTTTTTATAATTAAAGTTACTTTTTGCTGGATGCAGAATTCTAGGTTAATAGTTATTTCCTCTCAATGTTAAAAATATTATTCTGTCGGGGCGCCTGAGTGGCTCAGTCGTTGGGCGTCTGCCTTCGGCTCAGGTCGTGGTCCCGGGGTCCTGGGATTGAGCTCCACACTGGGGCTCCCTGCTCTGTGGGAGGCCTGCTTCTCCCTCTCCCACTCCCCCTGCTTGTGTTCCCTCTCTCACTGTATCTCTGTCAAATAAATAAATAAATCTTTAAAAAAAAAATATCATTCTGTCTTTTGGTTTCCATCATTGCTGTTAAGTCAACTGTCATCTATTGTTTTTCCTTTGAAGATACTCTTGTCTCCAATGCTTTTAGGATTTTTTGTCTTCGGTATTCTGCAGTTTACTGTGATGTGCGCAAGTGTGGTTTTCTTTGTATTTACCCTAAAGAAATTCCTTGGGTTTCCTGATTCTATGAATTGATGTCTTTCATCAGTTCTAGAAGATTCTTACACTACATATATTTTCTCTGTCCCTAGTGAAGCTCTGATGAGACCTTCCTATTCCATCCTCACATTTTCTATCTGTTTCTGGCCTTCTGGATAATTTCTCCAGCTCTACCTTCCAGTTAAGTCTTTCTTCAGCTGCAAAACCGATCTATTGAGTTTTTTTCTTTTTTAAGTGATTGTGCCCATTCATCCATGAGTTTTACGTGTCAAATATTTTATTCTCCTTTCTAGTTCTGTTTGGTTCTTTTTCAGATTTGCTTGGTCATTTTATATCCTCTCTTGCTCTCTACTTATATTTCAGGGTTTTTGTTTGTTTGTTTTGCTTTAAATATATTGAAGACACACATCTTACATTGTTTAGTAATTCCAATATCTTAAGTCTTTGAGGCCTGAGTACGTGGGCTATTGTTTATGGTGGATCCTCTTCACAATGTCTTTTTTTTTTTTTCAATTAGCAATAATCGTGCCTTGGATAAACCTCATTGGCTACGATACTGCCACTGTGCAAAGCTGTCTTTTTTTTTTTTTTTTAAGATTTTATTTATTTGACAGAGAGAGAGACACAGCGAGAGAGGGAACACAAGCAGGGGGAGTAGGAGAAGGAGAAGCAGGCTGAGCAGGGAGCCCGATGCGGGGGTCGATCCCAGGACCCTGGGATCATGACCTGAGCCAAAGGCAGACGCTTAACAACTGAGCCACCCAGGCGCCCCCACAATGTCTTATTTTCTTGCAATTTGTGGGTTTTGACTGTGAGTTCCTTTTTCTTGGCATTTTATCAAGGGGATTGTTTTTGAGATTGGGTCAGCAGTAAATTCCTTCAGAGAAGATAGGTGTTTCTCAGTCATCTGATGACAAACAAATCCTGCACCACTTTATACTAAATTTTCAGCTATGGGTCTTTTGGACCGCCCAGGTATTGTCAATTTAGGTGTAAACCTATTCAGGCTGGCTGTGGTTAAAAAAATCTCAGGAGAGGTTTTTCTCCTGCTTCTACCTTGCACTTGGCTTGGAGATAGACAGTTGCCCTGCTGGTTCTGATGAGATTTCCCAGAACCAGCTTTTGGTTTTGTTGATTTTCTCTGCTAATTTCCGGTTTTCAATTTTAATTGATTTCTGCTCTAATTCTTTTTTTTTTTTTTTCTGCTTACTTTGGACTTATTTTGTTCTTATTTCCCAAGGTGGAAACTTATTGATATTAGATCTTTCTTCTTTTCTAAAACATGCATTCAATGCTATACATTTCCCTTAAAGCACTGCTTTGCTGTGTCCCACAAATTTGGTAAGTTGTGTTTTCATTTTCATTTAGTTCAAAAGATTTTTAAATTTTTCTTGAGATTTCGTCTTTGACTCACTTGTTATTTAGAAGTGTGTTGTTGGGACGCCTAGGTGGCTCAGTCGGTTAAGTGGCTGCCCATGGAATAAATAAAATAAATAAATAAAATCTTAAAAAAAAAATAGAAGTGTGTTGTTTTGTTTCCAAGTATTTGGGGATTTTTCCAGCTATCCTTCTGTTAGTGACTTCTAGTTTAATTCCATTTTGACCTGAGAGCAATGTATTATTTCGATTATTTTAAATTGGTTAAGGCATATTTTATGAACCAGAATGTGGTCTGTTTTGGTGACTGTTCCGTGTGAGCTTGAGAAAAATGTGTTTTCTGTTGTTGAAGTAAGTCTATGGAGGTCAGTTGTTGAGTGATGGTTTGCTGGGCTCAACTATGTCTTTGAAAAGAGTAGTTAAAGATTGAACAGAGAACAAAAAGAGTTGAGAATTAAAATAATGGAATTTAAAAAACAGTTCCAGGGGCGCCTGGGTGGCTCAGTCATTAAGCATCTGCCTTTGGCTCAGGTCATGATCCCAGGGTCCCGGGATCGAGCCCCGCATCGGGCTCCCTGCTCAGCGGGAAGCCTGCTTCTCCCTCTCCCACTCCCCCTGCTTGTGTTCCCTCTCTAGCTGTCTCTCTGTCAAGTAAATAAATAAAATCTAAAAAATAAATAAAAACAGTTCCAGAGAAGAGCTGAAAGTTAAAAATCCCTCAGAAAATAGAAAGACAATATGAGAAAAGAGAAGAAAAACATGATCAATCCTGTTCTCTCTGGAATTAACCATTTATCAGGTGCTGGGTTCAATGAGAATTCCAGAGAGAACAGAGAAAATGGGAAAAAAATCACACAAGAAAACAAAATTTTGTGGGAGTGAAGGATATACATCTCCACCCAACAGCACAACGAATAATGGCACACAGTCAGGCACGTCCTGACATTTCAGAACCTCAGAGAAAGAGAAGGTCAGGGGCAAAAATAGCATGGAACTTCTCAACAGCATTACCAAAAATGTGAACACAAGGGAATACTGCCTTAAAAATGATTTTCTTGTGTGAAAATTATTTTCAACTTCAAATGTTATGACCTGCTATCACATGTGTATGAATGGAATAAAGATTTTTTTAGACCATGTTTTAAAAATTTTAACTCTAGTGACTTTTTAGAGAAGGTACTTGTGGATATGCTTCACCAAATGAGGGGTAAAAGAACTATGAAAGATGAAGACATGGGGCCCAGGAATCAGAGGATCGAATCAGGAGAAATGTTCTGCAGCAGTTCCAGGGAGCAAACAGTCCTCACTGAGCCAGGGGATGAAGGAAAGCGTCCGGATAAAAAGAGGAACCGTAGGGGAAGAACTAACAATTGGTATGTACAGAAAACTAAGCAAATGAAACAGAAGAATGGCAATTTTTAACTCAACGAAAAATTTAGAAGTAATTTAATTATATCCCAATTTTGACTCTGCAGTGGGTAACTTTCACATAGTAATATAAATAGCTATTTAAACAGTGAGTACTGATTTACCTAAAAACAGGGGAGAGAAGGGAGCAAGGTCCTGTCACAGGAGAGCTCAAGCCTCTTCTGTTACAACAGAGAGCCGACAGGTGGTGTCTAGAATGACAAGTCAAGCAAGAGTAGTATAAACAAATATATTTTTTTCCTTAGCTAGAGAACACGAGCAGGGGGCAGAGTAGGAATAGAGGGAGAGAATCTTTTTTTTTTTTTTTTTAAAGATTTTATTTAT